AAAAAGGCCCTCTTAGTCAACTCGACATTGACTAAACCTTTTTGAAGTACAACTCGAAACTCACCAAGGCCGCTTTTTATGGGTCTCCTGACAGTTAACAATTTAAAACTCTCCAGCATTTTCCAGTGGCTTGTCGTTCTCGTTATTTTCATTTTTTCTTTCAGACTAGCTCTGCTAAAACCGCAGATGAAAACATTCCACAGAAAGCAACTGGACAGAGTGCGTCATCGTATACCAGCAGATCCTTGAACGTTACTCTTCTTGGTGATGAATGGGGTTCATCTGCTGGTGGGTTGTCAACCATAAACAGAGAGCTTGCTATTCACCTTTCACAACAGCCAGGAGTAAATGTATCTCTATTGTGTCCAGAAAAAGCTTGCAGCACTGAAGAAATAAGAGAAGCAGATGGCTATAGAATCACCATTGTTCAGGCGAAAGAACGAGCGGCATATGATCGTCTTGATTGGTTGAGCATCCCACCCCCGGACCACGTCATGGACATCGCTGTTGGCCATGGTGTTAAACTGGGTCGGCAAGTACAGTTCATCAGAGAATCTGCTCGATTTCCAAATTGTAAGTGGGTACAAGTGGTGCACACTGCTCCAGAGGACCTTAGCAGATACAAATGCTACACTGATCCCATTTCAAAAGGTGAAACAAAACACGAATCAGAAGTTGAACTTTGCAAACTTGCTGATCTTGTTGTACCCGTGGGGCCCAGACTGAAAGAAGCATACTATTCATATTTACAGCGATGTAAAACAGATCAAGACGTTTTGTCCATTACTCCAGGTCTTTTTCAAAGGGAGTTTGGGGATTTAGTGGCAAAACAAGATCCTAATGAGGATGGCGAATTCAAAGTGTTGTTATTTGGTCGTGGGGATGATGAGGACTTTGAACTCAAAGGATACAACATTGCTGCCAAGGCATTTACTGATCAACAGCTAAAAAGCAAACGTTATCATCTAATCTTTGTCGGAGCACCTCAAGGAAAGCAAGAAGAAGTGAGAGACAAACTTCTTCAGGGTGGTATTGCAGATGCACAGTTGACTGTTAGAAAATTTATACAAAGTAGAGACAGACTGAAAGATCTGTTTTGCGAAGCTGACCTTACCATCATGCCTTCAAAATCAGAGGGATTTGGTCTTGTTGCACTTGAGGCCGTCTCTGCAGGTTTACCCATTCTTGTTGGCAATAGGTCAGGATTTGCCAAAGCACTAGAAAATGTTCCTCATGGTAATACATGCATCGTGAATTCAGATGATCCTGCAAAATGGGCAGAGGCAATTGAAGGTGTTTGTGTTAGGCATCAAGTGCGACTCAAAGAGGTTAAAGCACTAAAAACATGTTATGGAGAAATGTACAGTTGGAAGGAACAATGCAAAGCCCTTGTGGAGAGAATGTGGAAAATGGTCCATGGTAAGAGTTGTTGCTTTGAAACTCATGCATAAAATAATGAATATGATTTATACTATTTTGTACATGTTAGTTTGACTTTTGCCTGTGTGTTCTGAACATTATCGCGATTGGCCACTTAGGCACAATCAATTTCAGATGTTCATGGTTTTCTTGTCTCAACACTTATTAATAAACGTAGTGTTTTTGTATTTTGGTAATTTGGTATTTTAGAACTTACTGTTGATGTAACTTAGTATTTCATAGGGCCATAAACTGTAAGTTTAATAAGTTATGTATGTTACGGGTCAAATTGGTTCCCAGGTTAAATATTTTTAACCTAGGTTGATTCTTGATTTCCTTTGTCTACTAGGGCTAGAGGACAAAGGAAATTGAGAATCAACCTAGGTTAAATCAAAATTAACCTGGGATCAAATTTGACCTGTAACATGTACGTGAATGTTCTATCATGAAAAGTATGGCTGAGGTGTAATTCGAATTAAAAGTGTTCAAATGGACAGGGCAATGATATGCAATCCAAAAGCACTTGCTATTCCAGAACATCTAGTGAATCTTTTGTAGTTAATAGGATTCCTTAAAACAAGTCTATTAACTTTCCCTCACAATGAAAGTATTTTTATAACCAACCAACAGCGTCTTCCGAAAATGTCATCATGCCAAGAAATGAAGAGCCAATTGTTGAAGAAACTTTCCGTGCTGAAAAGAGAGCTCATTTTGCAGCAGGAAGTCAGACTAAAAGTAGCTGTAAGCATATTCCAGGTATGGGAAAACATTATTTGCTTTCTTTTGCTTTTGGCCTCTGTTATGAGCAAAGGGTGGGGTAAGAGGCCCACTTAAAAGTGTTCACTGTTTAATTTTTTAGCAGGGAAAAACCATACTGCATGCCCACTGAACTTAGCTGAACTGAACAACTTTATTTATACGTGTCACATCTTCTAAACTGGCTACACGTAGCTTCATAACCGGGGAAACCTGTGCTAACCTGGATACTGACGCACTGTAATGTTACGGTAAATCATCTTTCTTGGTTTTCACCAATGTGACCGGCCGCTTGACAACGGTTGCTATCCGCTATGTTTGTGTCCCTCAAACGTAATCAAAACCAGTTCGAAGAGATGTAGATATAGTTGTTTGCATCGTTGTTGGTTGTTGTAGAAAAAGTGAGAAGAAAAACACCCAAAGATTTTTTCGTATTCCATCATTTGTCAAAAACAAGGGCGAGGAATTCGAAGAAACCACTACAAAGAGGAGAAATCTCTGGATTTCGGCAGGAAGTCGAGACGGTGACCAGGAGACATGGTCATGGCGGATAACGGTTAAATCGTCGCAGAGAGAGTTGACACGAAGTCGTTTCGATACAATTTTATTTAGCTGAGTTGTAAATAGTTTCACAAACATGGCGTAAAGAAGGAGGAATATTCACCCAGAATGTTTTTCTAATTCACGCTCATTCTATACTTGTCATACTTGAGGTGACCGAATTTTTTTTGCAATTTCAATGCTTGAGTTTGTATCAAAACGACCGGTTTCCGCAGAGAGTGTTGGCTTTAAGCAGGCTAAGCTGGTAATTCCAGCCTTTACAAAAGGGAAGTGACATTTGCATCCAGTTGACAAAAAACCAGAGGGATAGCAAGTGTTCAAAACTATGGGTTTGCTGTGGCACAGCTATATCATTTTAGAGGGAGTAATTCCAACAGATTTTCTTGCTTCAAACCGAAATGGATCCCCTGGTACACAGATCCTGATGATTGATCGTATTGTGAGGGTATGCTCTGCAATTGTCAGTTTATTCCCACCAAATAGTTGTACTTTTTCAGTTGCTTTTGACTAGATCTGTTGTATTAAGTCTCAGAAAATATACATGCTCCTTCAAAGAGTCAAAGATGGGTTTTGATTTTTTTTTTACCATAGATATGAGGGCATATTTTCTTTGGCCTGAAATTTTGTCTTTAAATTGCCATTCCACCTGTAATTTCAAATGACAGCCTTAGTGTTAGGAGAATGGATACTTTCTCGGTCTTTCATTTCCAGTGGCATGCTTTTGAAGAAAGCAAAGGAGGATTTTCTAGTCTTGTGCTGAAGGGTTTTCGTTGGGAAACCCTCACTGTCACAAATTGTTTCTTCCTGAGTCTTATGATACATAAAGGTGATTCTATTTCCCCGGGAAAATACCTAGGAGACAGGAAAAAGTTATAGTCATTTAAAAAAGTAGTCTTTGGGAGAGTGCATGTGCCCAGCTACAGCTAAATAACTGTTTCCATTCCAAAAAATAGCTTGAAGCTCTCTTAGCCTGTGTACAACCGCCCTCTCCTCGCAAACAAAATTAGACTGCGAGCAGTCTCTCTTGTTTTTCAGATTTCGTGAGAGGAGTGCACGTGCGCTCGAGCGTCGAGCCCGTCTCGCTCCTTCAGTCTCGCGCGTGGTCTTTTTAGTGTCTCGCGAGTTTCGCTGAACGGACTAAAAAAAGAGAGACTGCTCGTAGTCTAAAGCAAAATCGGCGAGAGAGACGTCTGTGTCCGTCGTTAATCAACGTCTGGTTTCCCCGATCGTCAGGGAAATCCTCTGATTAGCTGTCATATTGATACCGTGACGTAAGTAATTTCCGGTATTGTGATTGGTGAATGAATCTTCCAGGATAAGAACTTCAGCGTGTCTCCCCAATTTTGTTCGAGGGGAGGGGGCGGTTGTACGCAGACTCTATAAGGGGACACCTCAGGGCTATATCAGCTGTCCGTTTCCGAGGGTGCTCGCAATCTGCTACCAACGCCTGCACCTGGACATGTCTTGACTGCTTGGATCAACTAAAACAGCTACTGTTCGCAGATATGAGCAATTTTGACACAAGTGGCAGCTCGGTTGATATAAACAAAGAACGCGATACGTAGTTGGACATTTGGTTTTTTTTTTATGCAATGGCAAACAACATCGAGCTAATTCCAAGATTCTGAAGATTGGGCACATTAACGGAAAAAGTATTACTGGCTTTAAATTCTATGAAATTAGAAGTTGGCTAATGTCTGGAAGATTTGATATACTCCTCATAACAGAGACAAAAATAGATGCTACCTTTAGCAATAGTCAGTTTAATGTGGAAGGATTTCGTATGTATCGTGTCGATAGAAATGCTCAAGGTGGTGGGCTGATGATCTTCATAAGGAATGACATCTGTCATTACACGTTTCAATAAAGACATGTCAAGTTTTCGCACCGAATCCATGTTATTGAAAGTCAAAATAAAAAAATCTTCGTTTTCTCTCGTCGGCATCTACAGACCTCCGAATATCCCAAAAGCCAGTGGAAACTTGAACTTAGTGCTATCTTTGAAGCTGCAACAACGATTTCAAATGACAGTATCTTCTTGGTTGACTTCAACTATGATGTGATGGAACCAAACAGGCCTCCCATGGATGGACGAAATTTGTGTGATTTATCGGACATTTATAACCTAACGAACCTAATCACATCACCAACTAGAACGACAGAAATAACAACAACAATGTCGATCTCATTCTTACAAACAACAAGAAAAGAATACTATCATCAGGCGTTGTTGATGTCTAAATCAATGATCACTCCCTCGTATACACAATTTTAAAACTCTCCGCACCCAGATTTCGATCTCGAAAAATTTGCGTGAGAAGATTTAAAGTTTGACAGCGATGCTTTCCTACAAGATTTGCATAATGCTTCTTTCAATGTAATGGAATTTTTCCATGATGTAAACGATAAATTATTTGCATTTGAATCGCTGTTTTTAGATATTATGGGCGCGCACCTCTAAAGCAATTCCATGTGAGAGGCAATCAAGTACCGTTTATGAAGGAACTTTGGCGCAAAGCCATTCGGCATAGACACAAGCTGTGGACAAAGTTCACTCATGATCGCACTGATGCTCATTAAGCCCTTAACAAAGAAAAGAGGAATAAATGTACTTTGCTGAGACGAAAGGCAGCCAAGGCTTATTTTCTCAATAAACCAGAAACAGCAAACTCAAATGATTTCTGGAATACTTATCGTCCGTTTCTTCACCCAAAGATAAACTAGAGCTTTTGAATAAACGGATTTTGAGATTTATATTTAATGATCTAAATTCTAGTTATGACGAGTTGCTAAAGAACGCTAACACAACATCTTTGTACAGTGGAAGAAATTACAAAATGCTTATTGTAATGTTTAAGAGCTTATTTGTCTCTGCGTATCCTAATTGTCTTAAGGAACTGTTCTCTCTTCGCGGCTGCAAGTATTTTTTTTAAGAGGGAATAATATACTAAGCTTACCCGAACCTAGGACAACCGCTTATGGACGCGAGTCCATCAAGTACGAAGCTGCAAAGCTCTGGAACTCACTTACAGACGACATGAGACTAACAATATCAATGGAAGACTTTAAAAAGTCATTAATCACTGAGTGCATGAAACTCGCAAAGTGAAAGTCACAATTTTGGTATCTGAATGGGTATCAAGAAATAGGGGGCTTTCCACCATAAACAGAGAATCAGCCATTCACTTAGCCAAGTTCCCTGAAGTGGAAACCACTTTCTTTTTTACCAAAATGTAGTCAAAAGGAAAGAAAGATAACCCTGGAACGCAAAGCAAAGATCGTGCAGGCGACGCCTCTGCCTTCCTTTGAACAACTGGATTGGCTTTGCTTTCCGCCGAAAGATTTGCAAATCGACATTATCGTAAGTCATGGAGTTAAACTCGGTAAACAAGCACAAGCTCATTAAAGACCGTAAAACGTTCAAATGGGTTCACACAGACCCTGAGGAACTTGGGATGCTTAAAACTATTCCAGCTCAATTCCAAAGGGACCGAGACCTAAGTAGAACTGTGTGAAAGGGCTGACCATGTTGTAGGAGTGGTACCCAAGTTGAGCGAGGCCTTTCGCTCGTATCTTTGTGGTTGTAGTAAAGATGGTAACGTCTTTGACCTCACTCCTGGGGTATTTGTAGAGTCTGAGACTGTAAAGCAAGTCAACTCAAGCAATAGTCAACATTGTAGAGTCCTGATATTTGGTCGTGGAGATGTAGAAGACTTCAAATTAAAGGGATCTGATATCGCTGGGAAAGCGATTGCTGCGTTACAAGATACTCGTCTTGTGTTTGTTGGGGCACCGCATAGAAAACACGAAGAAATAGCAAATCGGTTAATCGAATGTGGTGTTCCTGCTAGTCGACTGAGAGTAAGAGGATTTGTTCAAGACCGAGAAAGTTTGAAGCGCTTATTTCAAGAAGGGGATCTTGTAGTCATGCCTTCGAGAACAGAGGGCTTTGGATTAACAGGATTCGAGGCAATGTTAGCTGGTCTCCCTGTGTTCGTCAGTCGTAACTCTAGTTTTGGAGAAGCATTGTGCAGTGCAGCTTTTGGTTCAACATTTGTATTGAGTCAGAGGACCCCGCGGTGTGGACCGTAGCCATCCAGAATATCTGGTCTAAGGACAGGAAATGTCGACTTGAGGAAGCGGTGACCTTGCGTGATTCCTATGGCAGGAAATACAACTGGGCCAAACAGATAAAAGAGTTAGTTGACCAGATGATCAGCCTGGCTCATGGTAGCAATGTCAATTATTCTTCAGTGGCACATTATTAGGAAACAATAGTAATACAAACATAATTCCCCCAACAGCATGTTTTCTCCGTTTTCGTTTAACGGAAGATTCTCTAAAGGTCCGGATCTCCTTAGAAACAAAGTGCAACGCTTCTCAGAGGATGAAAGGCATGAGAGAGGACCATGAAGGTATCTTTGTAGACAGCACGCGTAGAAATCATTTCTGTCTATTTTCAACCAAGTGGGAGAAACGTGGGAGGCGCGCAAGAGCGAGCAAAAAATAGGGACGGGTAGAGAAATAAAACGGCGGCCGCTGAGCTTCTGTCCCAGGAATAGACAACCTAATATATTATGCCCAATAAATGTCCGCCCCGGAGAGGAATGGGCACACCTGGAATTGACTAAGCCTCAAGTCTCAAAGAGAATATAATTGTAACCAGAGCTTGTTTTTGCAGAGCCTTCTATAGAAATTGACAACAACCAAACAAAAAAGTCTTATCACGACGAGCAGCTGGTTTCAGAAACGTCCCTTAGTAGTGACTGTGAAATGAAAGCTGAAGCTGCATCAGGAAATCCGACTAAGATATCCACGAATACAGACTCTCAGTCTCATAATAGCCGTAAGCGTAAAATGTCAGAATTCTCTTGTAATCCAGGTATGCAAAAATATGAGTTGTTTCTCTTGCTATAGACCTTGTTACGGTTTTCGACGCCATCTTGACGAGTAGGCAAACGTGGGAGAAATTACAGTGTTTGTATGAGAATCCAATGTCGATTAAATTCCTTTAAACGGCTGTTCTGAAAAAAATTTCAGTTGTAAACTTAAGCTACAAAGCAAAGGATTATCCTAAATTTTTTGGGAGTGTACCCAGACGACGATCGAATAGTATCCCATGATGCACCTCGATTCATGTTATATTATCACTGCGTACGTGACACATTATGATCAGTAACCTTCAGCACGCGCGAAGTGAACATCGATCGCAGTGCTCGATGTGGATGGTTTCCAAACATGTTTCGGTTCAGCAGCTTCTGCTTTTGAGATTATCGAGTTGGCTAATATTCACTGTGCTTTAAAGGAGAATTTCAGCGTTGCTTTGACTGAGAAGGGTTTTACATGTATTTCACTGATATGCCGAGAACTACTTGTGCCGCGCTCGGTCGCACTGTAAACACAAATTATAAGACTCGCAATTGATAAGCTTCGCTAGGTTCAGTAGGAGAACCCAGGCCAGAGGAGAACCAAAACTATGACTGATCTATAAAGTGGTTCCAACAAAACATCCGCTACGCTGTGAAGCTAATTACCAAAGGATAATTTATTACAGCATCGCGCTCAAAGGAGCTGAAGTTTACAATGGCAGTTACAAATAAAATTTAACCTATCGATGCGACAAACAATTCTCTGAAGCACAGTCTACCCGGTACTGACTCAAGCAATCTTCAAGGAAATTTCCTGGCCAGAATACTGATCTGCTCTTTTGAATAAATAAAGTTTCTGCATGATGTTTCATTTTCAAATTCTGAGCAGGCTTCAGTTTACGTTGTGCCGGCTTGCATGCTGCGTGGTTCCTTTCTTTGGGTTCTTTTCACACTGAAACACACCGTTATACACCGCTCCTTCTTCGAATTAAAATAATTATAGTCAAATTCCTTTTAAAAATAACCTCTTTGAAAATACAAAGTGATTGCTTCGGCATAAAGCGCTCTCAAAAGCGCCCAACAGATTGTAGCCTTCATCAGGCTTTACACATATATTATGACACATGGCGTTGAAATGTGATAAAAGATTCGAAATTTCCGCCATCTTTGGTGGACAAAAAAGTCTTCAAAATGTGGGTACTTCTGGGTACTTCTTGGCCTGTACAATATTCAGGACTTCATTTTACTGGCGTGAGGTCCACATTTGTAAGATTTCAACATATATTCCAAAAAACCTTGAATATTCATGACCTGGTTGTGGGTCACTGAACACTTTGTGATGGGAAGACTAATTGAAACCGTGAAAATAAATGTTTCTAAGTGGAAACTTCGCTCTTAAGCCATTGCAAATCGGAGAAATCATGTCAAATAACGAAATAATGTAATTTTTTTACTTTTACTGGAAATCGCGTGAGAAAAAAGCCGACGAGAAAACGACCTTATTTCAAGAAGGAATCTGCTATGACTGCGATATTGCGTGATGCTTCTGGAAAAATGCATCATGGGATACTATTCGATCCTCCTCCGGAGTGTACCTATGCTTAAATTTCTCCAGAGGCTTGCTTTAGATGTTCCATATATTTGTCCTACAGACAAACCATCCACAAGCATCTGTTAGAAGACATTCCCTTCACAACTCAATAAATACAGTACCACAAGTGAAGAGTAAAACAATATGTTTTTCGTCTCTCACCCATATTTTCGACCGTGTTAAACGGCCTTCATCAGGGTCCTACAGACAAATGTAAAGAAAATTTTAAAAAGTGGTTCTAGGTCTTCTTGCTCATGTAACGCCCTCAATTTTTTTTCAGTAGCATCCTTAGGAGTGAAGCTTTAGTTTACAATTCATATTTTTTTCAGAACAGCCGTTCTACGGAAATTATTCCACATTAGATTCTCAAACAAACACTGTCATTTCTCACGCGCTTGCCAACTTTTTTAAAACAGTTTTTATTGAATTAAAAACACGTTTTACAATGTTATTTGCCTACTCGTCAAGAGATGGCGTCGAAAACCGTGACAAGGTCTATTGCTCACAAGTACACTACTATATCTAAAGGGGGGAAGTGATTGTTAGATTATTCAAAGGTACTTTTTCCTACAGGACTTGTTACCGTTTACGTTCATACTATACTAGTGTATTATTGATAATAGTAAAACTTATTCGTGCCGATATCAATAGTCTCTTAATAGTCGCCATTTTCATCAGCGGTTATAAAAAAAAAGAATTTGAATAAATGATATGTGAATAATAATTAATATATAAAAATTAAGATGTATCGAACACTTAAATCATATAAATTACTTTGGGTACTTTAACTGTGCAAACGGCATGAAACCTACTAAAAACGAGTAAAAAATTACATCAAATTACATGCATCGTAAGAGCTTTCTGGAATGAAATGTCTTTAGTGCCTTCTTAAAAATGACAACTGAGGGGCTTCTCCATATCGCAGAAAGAAACAAATTCCAAAGTTTGGGTGCAGCAAAAGCAAAAGAGCGATCTCCTAATGTGGTTTGAGTCCTGTCTCCACCATACCAGTAAAACGTATCTTAGTGGCAAATATTTTCAAAAATATGTACGAACAGGTTCTGCAATATCTTTCATCGAATTGCTATAAATGTTAACGTTCTATTGACATTCAAGTATGTAGCTAATATTGTGAATCTGTGATAACGCCCTAACCAAGTTGCCTTGTGGGGGCTTGGATGAGGTTTTTAAACCTCTTTGCTATGGTTGAGGTTCCTGAGTAGACATCCAGTAATGATGATTACCTTGACGAGAGCCGTCTCTTAAGTACAGGTACTTCAAGTGAGGATAGCGGAATCATTTTTAAAGACGTTTATGCTCTCCAAGATAGGTAGTCATGAAGGTGCATCTTCCCTGAGGAAGAAACGTCACATAACAGTAAACATTATATTAACAACGTACATTTGTTTAAGTAGGTAAAGAAATAGGTGTTAATTTATAGTGCGTACTGAATCTTTTGTCATAGCTTAAAAAAAGTGTAACTTTCCCGTTATTGATTTTCAGACTCTGTTCTTACTTCTGCCTTTATCAAAGTTATAGTTTCTTCAAATTGCCAAGATTTAACTGTTGAACAGCAAAGAACGATAACTAAAGAATTAGAGCAGTTGGTTCATAAGTACCGAAGACACCAAGATCTTTCGTCATTGCCATTTGATAGTAGTGTAGCCCGCCTTACTAAGTATATCGAAAAGGCTTATGAAGTGGCCGTAATGATGGTAAAAACAGGATCTTTGATTATAACTGTGCAGTGCCCCACTCTGGAGAGTCTTGAAAGTCTGTGGAACGGTTACTGTTCTGGTTACCTTAATGACGTTGTTGAGAGTTTCCTGGTGACTGATGAACTGAAGAGAAAGCTGGGGTTGGACAATGTCAGGTTGAAGACAACTATAGAAGAAGAAAATTACTTAATTTGCAAGAAGGCGTTCATGGAAAACTCAGGTTAGTTGGAAAGTCTCGATAGAGCCTGTTTTGGGGAACATGTATTTTGGCTTGTCAGATGTACCAAAAACAAATAGATCGCAAGTGGGTGAAATTGTTGGCTGGAACTTTTTTTACTCGCGGCCCGTAGGTTTGATAGTGCAATAACCCACAATCGGCGACAAAATGAGTTGAGACACTTCGCCTAAAAGTGGGCTTTTTTACGTTTTATGAACTTCAAAAGGAGGAAATATAGCTTTCCTCCCCCATCCCCTCCGTGCAATGTTGTGCCCTTGTTCTAGCTACCTATAGAAAACAACAAACACTCCAACTTTGAATGGAGGGGACAGGGGAGGGGTGCGGATTCTTTTGTCCTCCGAAGTCACCCTATTTAAGTACAATGTCTCAACAATTTTGTCGCCGATTGCAGCTAAATGTTACCGCCTTGGCTGTTCACAATAACAATTACGTAGGTGCTGACATTTTTTCTACCAGGCCCTTGGCATGTCGTGCACTACTTTACTAGTAAATAAAGGGGGCATTCAGAGACTAATGGAGGTCAACAACAATCAGTACATGTCCCTAGTTGGAAGGATTAGGCTGCGTGCAAACGGACGCAACATTGTTGTCCACCAACTCCCAACATTGTTGGATGTTACATGTTGCACACCCTGTTGTATGTTCTTGGATGTTGTTGTGTGTTGTTGTGCAAAGTTTGAAACCGGTCAAACTTTTCAGCCGACAACTCCCAACATTTCTTTTGTTCCGTGATCGCCGAAGCGTAGCACAACAATGTTGGATCCATTTGCACAGCTCTTCCAACATTGTAGGGGCCACCCACGCTCATTACGCATGGTTTACAAAGACTTATGGGTTGTATCCTTCCCACGATGCACTGTAGGTCCCAACATTGTTGGCGCAACAATGTTGGGAGTTATTGCGTCCGTTTGCATGCAGCCTTAGGATTGCAGTGGAGGGAGCATCTTCTCAAAGTACTCGTCACTCGTGTTCTTGTTCCTGTTTCATCTGACTCAGCTGCACAGCTTATGTGGCGTGCACAACGGCCTTTCTTCCCACAGCTACAGAACTTTAGAAAGTAGAAATTTAAATATAAAGAATGACTAGAAAGAGCCGTATTGTTATTTATACCTGAGACAAATCGGAAGTGCCATCTGTTTGAGGAGGACATCGTGAATTAAACGATCATTAAAGCATTCCCCGAGGGTGTCCGCTCGAGTTCTACAGGCAGTTACAACTGGTATCTTGTTTTTGACATATTTTTACTAGGAGTAGCAAGTATCACCGAAACTTCATTTCAAACAGTTGATTCAGGTCAGGTAGAAGATACAAGGTGGAGTGAAGCAAGCTCAGATGTTGAGAAAGTAAGATTTTCCTTGGGAACTGGTGAAACGGGGAGATATTATTAGGCAGTTATGTAATTAGAATTATATATAGGGTTTGCATCTCGTAATTTATGATAGTAAACTGAAGTGCAATTTTAGTTGTTACTGATAAATAAGAAAAGGGTAAATGCGAAGGGTCGCCAGTTAGTTTTAAATTGGCTGGGATTATACCAAGCGAATCCCAAAAGTGACACAATACAGTTTTTATTTATTTATTTATTTATCTATTGTCATCACAGGACAAGATCAGGTCCGGACACGTATGGCCAGACTATTAAGATACATAGTGTAGTGTCCGTCGTTGTGTAATCAAACAATGAAAACACAAGTGCGATGTTGTTAATGACTTGTAAGTAAATAATACTCAGCAGAGTGATACTGTGGGATCTCACGGGCTGAATTTAATGGCTATAATTTATTCATTCTTTCGTGAAACAGGAAAAGACGGGTCGAAAGATTCTCGTGCGCCGGCGTAATTCGCTTGCTCTTACTAGTTTATCTTGAGAGACCCTGAATGGAGCACTCCTAGTTAGTTTGAAGACTATTTCAACGTTTTCAAAATTAAGGCACAATCCAGCTATATCGAAAGGTTGTTGGCATACTTTTAACGCTTCCAAAGTTATGATGTCATGAGATTATAACCTATGCAATTATTTTCGTTGTGTGTAGCGTAGTGTATATGCTACTCGCTACTGGTTTTTGTTTCATAAAAATTTCAAAAGCTATCTCGTTTACTCAATGGTACATCAAGTCACGTTCTTCCAGCCAAATGCAACTAGTCTTTATTACATCCTGCAGATCGTCCCGTTGCCGCGTCCTGATCGGAGACCTTCTAATTCTGGCTCAGAATCACCGAAAAAGCGCAAAGAAGAAAGCGAGGTAAGTTAAGAACGTTTGGGAAGGTTGTACTGTTTTAAACTATGTAACTGTTACCATGTGTTTGTTACAAAGAGTGTGCTTCTAGATTCGCTCGTACAAAGTCACGTGGAACTATTATTATGCCGTCACTGAAAACCTCTTGTCGGTAAAATTTGGTGAGAATATTTTACCTCTTGCATAAAGAAGATTAATATGCTTTTGACAATTAAATTGTTTAGTCTGCGGGGCACACCGATCTATGGATGATTTTATAAGGTAAAATTTTGCCTGTGCTACATCTTTAAAAACGCTTATATCTCGGCTTTTTTAGCGTCTATTTTGATGAAACTTTACAGAGACATTGTGGAATGATGGAAGTTTAGGGCGGTTGTTTTTTATTTGGTAGTTCGCGCCTTAAGACAATGCTTTAAGCTACAGCGTTACACCAAATTGGGAAATCGTGACTTTGTGTCCAAGTTTGCGAAAAGAATAGAAGACAGCACTCTGAGATTTTATTAATAAATGATCAGTCAAACCCTCTAGTGTGTCATGTAGAGAGCAGGTTTTTCAATTTAAAGGTTGCTTGCAAGATGTAATCGTTTAAATAAGCAAAATCTGTCATCCCTGAAATTAACGCCTTATATCTTTTTTTATATCTTCTATTAACTCAATACATTTTTAAATTATTATTGACTGATTGAATACGAGCTACTTACACAACATGTACATTACCACATCTATATCAATAAAGAACTACTACAAATATACAAAAGATTCTACCTACATACAATGCTAATGCAACTATTGCTACTATTACAAAAATAAGAAGCAAAATGTATTTTAAATTCCCACCACCACGGCAGAATAACTGAGATTTTTCCCATTTGCATTCCTAGTCGGCGACTGTGTATTTTCTGTCTTTCCTGACTGGTGAACATAACTGGCTTTATTTTAAAAAATTGTGAAGGAAGGATAAGTGCATTTATAGCAAAACCAGGCTTAGGCAAATCCGTTTGTTTTGATTGGTTCTTTCTCGGTCGGGATTTTGCAGTACGGACCGTTTCCAACGGTCAAAGCCGTGTATTTTTGTTTTGGAGCATTTTAGTGCTCCAAAACATTTTAATGCTCCATTTTAATGCTCCTTTTAGCTTTTTCTGTGGCAATTTCAAAATTTGCAACCAAAACGGCGAAATAGAATGTGAATATTGTCATTCTTCATAGCGAAACTACCAGAAAAAGCTAAAAGGATTGAAATTTTAGTGAGATTTCAAAGATGGTTACGAAGAAGAACATTCTCCGAGAGAGGTCAGTAATATCCTGAACATCTGGAAACTTTTGATGCAGAAAATGAAAAAGGCATCGCCGAAAGCCAGGGGGCCAAAGACGATTTTATCAACCAACAGAAAAGTGCAAACACAAACAAGAAGACTGCTACTGATATGAACACTTTACTCCGCTACATCGAAGCTAATGGTATGAAAAATGAGAAAATTGAAAGCTTACCTGCGTCCGAGCTTGACCACTTGCACGGAGGCAAAACGGAGGAAAATAAGATCCGGCGACAGTTTCCAGTTTTCAGCCCAGTATAAGCTTACAGCGATACTTAGAAGAAATACCCATTTAACATCCTAAGGACAATGAGTTCGAAAAATCAGAAAAGTCCTTGTAGCGAAGCGAAAGTCACTTGTTCTGACATGAGCACGGCAAAGGAAACAAACCGCAAGCTGCTCAGGACATCGACGAAGACGAAGAGGATGCCTTTTTTTTAATTTTGAATTTGGCGACCCCAATCCAGTTGCGCTTGGAAGAACTGTGTGGTGGTTTTTATACAACACTTCGGTCTCCGAGCAAGAGAATATCAGTCAAGCGATCCGTTACTGTCTTCCACCGCTCCAGTTTTTACAGGTGCAAACTAAACATAGGATCCATCGGCAATTGCACATTCCAAATATTTCATGGTAATGTGAAAATTGTCCAGAATGAAAGCAAGCGTCGAATTGTTATCGATAGCGATGAGGACGATTGGCTTTGAGGCTATGTTTGTCAACTATGTCCAGTTTCAACCTTAGACTTTCACTTGACACTGACTTGATCCATATTTCAATCAAGAAAGTATCGTTTGATGGACAAAAAACCGTTCCTCGAATTTTAGAATCAACAATTGCTTTTGTCAGATTCCGTTACAAAGCGTTTTTGAAGTTTTGTTTAAGCTAATTTAAGACGATTTCACAATCAATGAATTTGTTTTTCGAACTCGTGGTAGCTTGCTTTTGTCTGAGTTGCTCGCGTTATCAAGAATACGTCACGGTAGCCACCGGAAGTGCATTTTACTATCAGAAGCCGAGTGCCATATAATAAACAACTTACTAACCGAGCTTGCTCGCGCTGTACTGGGGAATATTGGCCCTCAGTCGTGGCAGTACGAACCTAGCGCAGCGATTAATAAACAAGTAATATTTTTTCCTTTGCCAAAATCCAAAAGTATGACGCTGTTTGAAATGTCCCTTAAGGTGATTCCCTGGTCTTGCACTGCGCATCTCTTACTGCGCATAACAAGATGGCCGCCGTAAAAAAGAGCATGTGAAGTAACATTATCAAAATGAAGTTGACTGAAGAGAAACGCTATTGGAATTTTTGCTTGCGGTTGTTTCTTGCCGAGGTGAGACTCAATGTGTTGGGAATGTGCATAACGTAAGCAGTACGTGTATTGCTGAGTTTGACTTCCTCACGGAGAACGTTTAACTTGTGCTTACTCACTTTGATTTCCATTTAAACGCTTTCTTTATCACATTGTGTCCTAAATGTGATATCTCCATGTAAATTCTGTAAAGACGGATTTTTTTAATACTTTCTTCGCCCTTTCTCACACATTCTATTTTGAAACTCGCCCCAGTCCTCTCTCGAAAATCGGAGAAAATGCATTTGGTGCGCACTTTCCGCAGCTCTACCGCAAAAACGAGTACGGTGACCCCCTTTTTTAAATTCATGATTTTAATAAGGACAGTGCTTCCTTTCGATGAGAAAAAAATTGGCACGAATCTATGTTACCAAATTGTACGGATTGAGCTATCACGGGTCGAATAGCGCGTGTCCAATTTAATTCTACTTTGGAGCGTAAAGTAAAAACAAGGCATTAAATGGCATTTTTCTGGTACGTAAGTGGATAAACAATACACTAAAGTCAAATTCTGTGCGATACCACATGCATCATTGAAAAAATCTCTCCTTTTTGTCTAGTTTTGGGTTGCGCGCGGTTTTTGTCAAAGGGTCCTAAATAGCCGTATTTGTCAGCATTGTGAGGTCAAAACGAGCACTGTGACCCCCACTTTTTATTACATTCTTATTATCTTCTTGATTTGTTACGTCAGTGTACCAAGTTTTATCTGCAATCTATGTTAGGTTCTTTTACTAAGGAATCACCTTAAGATTATGTTCAGTTCATTAGATCGAGTAATGAAGTCCGACCAGAAACTGTTAGTAAAGGAACATATAATGAACAAGACGCTATCGAAGCGTACACTTAGGCGTCGTTGTTAGGGGGATTTTTTGGTGTGTCAGGTACGCGTAAGTGTCGTAGTGTTGTTAATTGGGTTAGTTGAGATGGGTTAAAAAGGAAACGAGGAGTCATGGTGTACGTTTCTTGGCAACGTTTCTCCATCGTTACAGCAAATTAAATTGTTGGTAAGTGAAGGAACCTGGAATATTTATAGGATCTAATAAAATGAGAAAGGGATGCCTGCGGATCGAAACGCACCAATGGATATCGCCCTTTAGAAAAAAACATTTTATTTCAGCTATGTAGGGTCAGTAGAATAGAAACCTACATGAACGAATGTCTGGGATGCAAGAACATGTTTCAGTTCCCTACACGCGAAGTGCCTTGAATTCGGTGAAAGTTAACAGACTACAATATTTTGAACACTGAATCGCACTGATGTAGCATTTTCTGTCATTTGGGATCAATGCTGCTAATTTTGCCCAATGTTCTAGCCGGAGTTTTGAAAACGGTATCAGCAAATGGACCTTTTGTGTCGAACAGTTTTTCCCGACCAAAAACTCTAAAGTAGCTATTATAAAAGCTAAAAGTGCAACAATTGCTTTTTCTCTTCGATCTCCTCCTTTCTTCC